TCTTTATCCAAGTCTAATTCTACTAGCTTAACACTAAATCTGACCTCATCAATCGGCTTGCCCGGGGCCAAAACCCCGGGATCGCCTCTTTTCTCGCTCAATTCCGGTAAAAATCGAGCGAGCTAAGCTCGTCCTGCTACGCTCCCCCGTTCCTCCATAGCTTCTCTCTGCGAATGGATCCGGTGCGGAGACGTGCCCTGATTTATTTCCTCTGCTAATTCCTCCTCCGTCCCTTCTCTGTTGCTCCGTCGCTCCCTACCCCGACTCACTATTACCCGTTGCCAGCCTCCTTTGTCGCCTGCTCCCTGCCGCGTTCCCTTTAGCCTGGCAGCGCCTGCACAGCCGTTGTGTGCCTTCTTGCCCGTCACCACTCTGTCAGCCTCCTCCGCTTGCCTCAGTAGTCGACAACAGTCGGCCCCCCCTTCCATCCGCGAGTATTATTCCGCGGTTCTGACTGTCCTCTCTCGGTACTCCGACAGGAAACAATCGTTGGCCCATTGAAGAAACTCGGTCCTGACGCTGCCGGTTGACCCCTGGCCAGTATTACCCACCTATTGGAGCAGGTAGCACACCTGCTGGTGGGTGCAGCTCCCGCATGTCCCCCCGTGGGGGCTCAAGCACGGATGTGGCTGCTACGAGGTTCCCTGCGTGCCTGTGGCTTCCGACACTGTGCTATGGGCCGTCCTGCCCATGCGCAATGCACCAACTTCCCAATCACATCGGACATGCCCACACCCAAACCTCTCACAATAAACCACGACTAGTGGGTGCGACATTCGAAAAAAAGGCATCCCGCCACCTAGACTTTTCTCCGTTTCGTGGCCGATCGCCCACAGGCTCACCAAAATGGGTGCGTGCTCAACTCCATGGTTGATGCGACGACCACCCACGGCTAGTGTCGCGCCTGATTAAATAAAAGTCAGGGTGTAAAATTTAATAATAATGATAATAAAAGTTATAAAATATCTAGGAAATTTTTAATCATCGAAAAGGAACTGTCAGTACCGCCCAGACGCCGCCAAATACAAACCCAAAGGAGATAGCCCCGCCAGGCCCTGACCCTCCTCGCTTCGTTCACGCCACCCTGATCCCTGCGTCATCACCGCCCGGTCTCGATCCCTGAGTCTCTTTGATGAAAGTCTGACACCGTAACTAATAGTGCCAGACCCAAGTCTGGGTCTAGCTTTGACGAATGCCTAAATAAACGGGCACTGCGCGATGCGCGGGTCTACCGAGAACAGTTCAAGGCCTCCTTGTTATCGATGTCGTTCTCCACGCGTGCGCATAAGACACAGGCAATCGCATCAATCACCGAGACATAATCTTTTTAATCCTACCTTAATCAAAAAATCAAAAAATCAAAAAATCAAAAAAATTTGGCCGACCTTCACGCCGACTCTTCAATCATCAACAATTAAAAAGATCACACGCGCCTCAATTCTACGCGTCCACACACTCTTTATTCTAGTCAACCATCAGCCGCATAGACAACGCTCGCGCGATATATTCAACTTTAAACTAAACTTATTTTCTTTCACTTGCAAAAATCAGGGCGGATACCCTTGTAAGGGTATTTGCACCGACATCGGCGGTGGTCAGGGAGCACTGGACACATATGTTTACACGTTTTTATAAAACCTTTGAGATGTATAGGGACGCAGGACCCGATTTTTCCAGCAGCTGCTCCCCACCAATAGATGGAGCCTTCAAATTAAACCATCAGTACCTCGCCTAAATTAAAAAAGCCAACGAGGCCGTAAATGCGCCACGTCGAGCGGGGTACCCACCGACGAGTGACCAGTATTCCAAAAAAACGAGAAAGAAAAAAAAAAAAAAAAAACGTAGACGAAAATAAGCAGTAGGGGTAACTAGGGCGCAATCACGAAAGTAGTTTGTAAATGCATTTCTAACTACCTTTTTGGAGTGCATTATCGTCTCAAGTTTCAACTGTAATCGAAACACTCCACACGCATAAAAGTCGCAAGGCGGAGTTTGCAACTGTAGTCCAGTCCGACATGTGGTCTCCTTTTTTTATTTTTTTTGAATCTCGGACGTGGCCGAGGCATCGTGAGCGTGGCCCAAGGCACGAGACGGGATTTTTTTTTTTTTTTTTTTTTTTTTTTTTACATTGGATGTGGTCAAGGTATTGTTGTCGTGGCCAGCCATGCATCGAGGCCTAGATTTATTTAGGGAAAAAAAAAAAAACATAGAGAGCCTTGCTCCACCACTCCCTGTCTTTATTCCTTTAGAAGGGACGCTGGGCCCAGTTCCCAACAAGTTTCTCACAGGATTATTCAAGAACGCAATTTTGGTGGGACGTTGGACCCGGTTTCCAGCAGGTGCAGCTCCCCACCAATAGATGGAGCCTTCTATAAAAAATAAAAATAAAAAATCATGGCCTTGTATCTTTCCATGTTTTAGAGGAAGTTTTACTCTCGTTTTGCACATTTCGAGAGTAGTGGAGCCAGGCAGAACGAGAGTGAATTTTTCGCTAGAACATGGAAAGATGCACCTCCACAAGGCCCTAAGGATAACATGCATAGGTCGGGAAATCTGAGAAGGGAAAAACAAAGAAAAAAAAAAGAAAAGAAACGGGGTCGTTGTCAACACGTGTCTCCCCTACGGCCTCTGCGTCTTTAATATGCCGTGTATTCCCGTTGCACAGAAGACAAAAATCATGGAGCTGTATCTTTCCATGTTCTAGCGAAGATTCACTCTCGTTTTGCACATTTGGAGATCAATCATGGAAACGGAGAGTGAATCTTTCGGTAGAACATGGAAAGATACATCGCCATGATTTTTTTTTTCCCCCTTCTTGTTTCTTCTTTTCTTTTTTGGAAAACGGCCTGGCCCTCCGACGTGGATGACTAGACTGAAATTACAAACTCTGTTTTGGACAGCCACGCGACGACGGAGTTTTACCTGCATTGTAAACTTTAGAGGGGACTGAACTCCAAAATGGCAGTTTGAAATGTATTTTCAAACTCTAAGCCTGACCGCGCCCTAGTTTTCTCTAAGATTAACAAACGAAAAAGAAACGGGCGCGGTGGGGGAGAGAAAGAGAGAGAGAGAGAGAGAGAGAGAGAGAGAGAGAGAGAGAGAGAGAGAGAGAGAGAGAGAGAGAGAGAGAGAGAGAGAGAGAG